GAAGACCTGAAACGATCTCCGTGCTTCGTTTTCCCCATCGTTATGAAGGAAATATTTAACTGTAAAAACACCAGTACGTGTTGCCGTTGCGATGCAACAAAACACAATGAAGGGCGATGCGGCGTCACTGCCCGCTTAGAGGGGCTCACATGACGGAATTTTTAAGTATCTGAACTTTGTTGCAAATGCGCGCGCCAAAGCACGACTACGTTATTCTTCATCCGGACGAGACCCCCGTCATAATTTTATTTTTATCTAATACATAAGAAAAAAAAAACTTTATTCTATTATAACTTAATACCTAATACATATAATCCAATCACAATGATAAATATCTCTAACTCTTTGTAATGCATTATAAGACTTTTTATTAAATTTATCTTAGAAGTCAAATAGACACGCACACAGACAGATTATTAATAATATAATAAGTGTTCGCGATTCTCTTTTGGGAGAGCTCGCTGGACCGCTGCGGATGGACGCAGGGTTGAGAGGACTTTGCGGTGAGAGACTCGGGGAACGGATGTACGCGTGATGGGTGGAATATCACGTGATCAAACACTCTGAGCGTTTTGAGTAAAATACCGGTTGGTCGTTTAATAAATATAAGAAGCTTACAGTTTGAGCAGTCTAGGATTAAACGGGGATGATCAGTCTCTTAGTCACTTGCACGGGTCGATTATATTAATCGAGAGCCGGTCTCGTGAATGTGGATGCCCGTGAGCCGTGTCCACGCAACGCCGGCGTGCGATGCGTGGTGAGCTTGAGCCGCCGGTGATGCTGTATCCCGAGCTGTCCGGGTTGAGTCGCACTGCTGAGTCCACTACGTGTCCGCACTGAGTCTATTCTTTGCTGAGAAAAGTCCACGAGAGCACACTCAGATCTTAAGCACTACAAGACACTTGTACGTTGTACGGTTGCCATGAGCCAAAAAGCCCGGTAACGAGCGTGAAGAAGCGCCGTCGCCAGCGCGTCGCGATCGGGCATGCGCGCGCAGCGCTCCTGTGGCGCTGCACGATCTGACCCGGCTGATGCTGCCATCACGCCGGTGACGAACAGACCGAGATTCGGAAATGAATCTCGAACAATAAGTATCTTTATTTTTGTATCAATGGAAGAAAACAATAAATGCCTGGATCTGGAATAAAAGAATCAGTGCTTGATCTTTACCTGGAATAAAAGAATCATCAATGTTTGATCTTTCCTTTTCATTTGAAATATTTTTTCTTATGAAAGCTATTAGCAGCGGTAACTCGGAATATAGTTTCATTGTAGATTTAGGACACATTTGGTTAAAATCCTGTTCCAACTGTATAAAACATAAGAAGAGATATTATATCTTACACTCTGTTGCAAATTATTTTGTCATATTTTGCTAAATAAATATACTAACTAGTAAATAACCATTTGCACTTTTCAAAGCAGGAAATGAATCTATATAATCATGTACAGCAATTGCATCTTTTGTAAGCCATTGTGTTCGAGATTCATTTCTGAATCTCGGTCAGTTCGTTACCGGCGTGATGGCAGCATCAGCCGGGTCAGATCGTGCAGCGCCGCAGGAGCGCTACGCGCGCATGCCCGATCGCGACGCGAGGGGACCGCGCTTCGTCACGTCCGTTACCGGCCCTTTTGGCTGATGGCTACGGTACCTAGTACACGCGTCGTGAAGTGTAGAAGATCTTTCTAGTGCTCTGGTGGACTTTCTCATCCGAGAACTGACTCAGTGTGAACATTCAGTGAACGCTTTGCAGTGCGACACATTCAGGACATTCGATACAGCATCACCGGCAGCTCAAGCTCACCACGCATCGCACGCCGGCGTAGCGTGGACACGGCTCACGGGCATCCGCATTCACGAGGCCGGCTCTAGATAAATACAATCGACCCGTGCAAGTGATTAAGAAACTTTTCATCCACCGTTATCTCGTAGACTACCGAACTGTAAGTTTTATACTTATTAAACTGACACGGTATTTTACTCAAACGGCCTGAGTTACAATCACGTGAGTTTCCACCTTCTAAAGCGTGCATCCGCTCCCGAGCCTCTCACCGCAAAGTCCTCTCAGCCCTGCTTCCATCCGCAGAGGTCCAGCGAGCTCTCCCAAAGGAGAATCGCTAACATTTTTGGTCCTTCGAGCCGGATGCGGCGAGGCTCTCGGACGGATTAGCTCAACCACGCAGTGATCACGTGATCTCACGGCCCTTTCGCGTGATCAGTGGCGCGCACATACACGGTTTCCGCATTGTTCACGTGATTTCACGATCCTCTCGCGTGACTCTCATCGCTAATTCTCTCTCTCTCTCTTCGGCGAACTACTTCGCAACCTCTCACGCTCCCTCGCCATGGCGGACGAGACGAAGACGGGCAAGACGGACCGCTCGAAAACTCCGGTGTTGGAGGTGCCTCCGGGAGACCGCACGTCGGGAAGAACGGCGTCTCCTGCCCGGCTTCCGACGGACCTCGCACTAAAGGTGCAGACCCAGATGGGCCGGATCGCTACGCTCAGGGAGCTCACAGAATCCCTGCCTAACATCCCAGCGGAGACATCACTCGAGGAGGTCTCCCAGTTCCAGCAGCTGGTCGAGGAGACGCACAAGGCATTTATCAAGGAGCACGCCTACTTCGAGATGTCATGGCCTGCGGCACTTACTCAGCATGAGTACTTTGCCGAGAATGCTCACCAGGCCGAGACGCGATGCTATCTACAAGCGCGACGAGTCGTCGGCGTGCTTCACCACGCATTGGCAGCCGCTCAGCCCGCTCAACCACTGACCAGCTCATCGACCGGCGAGAACAGACAGCCGCTCTCACGATTGCCAGACATCTCACTCCCCAAGTTTACCGGGGAGTATGCCGCATGGCCTGCGTTCAGAGACCTTTTCACCAGTCTAATCATGCAGAACGAGCAGCTCACGAACGTCGAGAGACTTCACTACCTCCGTTCGTCGGTGGAAGGCGCGCCAGCTCAGCTGATCGCAGGATTCATCATGGCAGGAGGCTCGCTCACGCCGTCCTGGGAGTTGCTCAAGGACAGATACGAGAACAAGCGCCTGCTCATCCATGCCTGCCTGGATAAATTATTCGCCAGCTCAACCCCGGTACCCAGGAAGGCGGCGTCCTTGGATCGACTGGTCTCGGGAGTCAAGGAGGCGCTCAAGGGACTGGAGGCCCTCGAGGTGACAGACAAGCTCGGAGACTGCGCTGTGGTGTACCACGTCACGCGCCTCCTGGATCGCGCGACACGCGAGCAGTGGGAGAACTCTGTTGGCGCCACGCGCGACTATCCCACATTCACGAAGCTCGAGGAGTTTCTTACGACTCGTATGCGGGCGCTCGAGCGGATAGAGAGTACGACGGCTCAACCTGGTTCCAGCTCAGCACCTCCACCAACGAAGAAGACGGCTGCTCATCAGTCTGCTCATCAGGTCGATACATCATACCCGTGCGACTGCTGCGGAGCGCAGCATTTCTTAGTGATGTGTAGTAAATTCCGGGCGCTACCACCATCCGAGCGGCACACGGTGGCGATACAGAAGCGGTTGTGCTTCAATTGCCTGGGGCGTCATAGTGTGCGCGCATGTAAGTCTCAGCGAGGCTGTAAGACCTGCTCAGGGCGGCACCATACCATGCTGCACGGCACACAGACAACCGCATCGTCAGCTCAAAAGGCCGGTGGTTCATCGGGCACGCCCGCAAATTGAAGAGTCGGTGCAGTCGTCGAGACCAACTCACACGTCCGCTCATCCTGCTCGACTCTACTCGCCACAGCCTTGGCACTGGTCAGCTCATCGTCAACACATCACTCAGCGCGTCTGCTCATTGACTCAGGATCCAAACTCTCCTTCGTCACGGAGAATCTCATTCGGCAGCTCAACATCCCTCGTCAATACTCCGGTATTGTCATCACTGGAATTGCAGGCAAGGAGTGTACTCGGTCACGAGGAGTCGTGTCACTCACGTTACGCTCGACACATTCCAACGCAGCTGCCACAATTCAAGCTCACGTCCTCCGGACAGTTACATCAATCTTACCATCGTTCGAGGCGGAACCGGAAGAATGGCCGCATCTCAGGAACTTGGCATTAGCCGATCCTGATTTTCTCATCCCGCGGCCAGTTGACATCCTCATCGGCGCAGACGCTTACGGGTAAATCATCAAGCCCAATATCATTCGGCATTCTCCACTCATGCCGATAGCGCAACTCTCCATTTTCGGATGGCTCGTTCTTGGACCAGTCAACAGGGAAGCAACACGCACATCAACGCACCATGCTTCTACTCAAGTCAACGAGGATGCTCTCAACGAGTTACTGACAAAATTTTGGGTTCAAGAGGAGGTGCCTACTCACGATGTCAACAAACTCACTCCTGACGAGCAGAGGTGCGAAGAGCACTTCAAGGCCACACACTCTCGTGATTCTTCAGGGAGGTACGTCGTCAGGATTCCGCTCAAATCACCAGTATATCTTCTGGATGATTCGTACCACGTCGCCCATCAGTGCCTCAAGGGACTACGCAGACGATTCTCAAGGGATGTGAACTATCAACGTCTCTATCAACAATTTATGATGGATTACGAGACGCTCAACCACATGACGAAGGCATCATCCATCTCCAGTCGTCGCTCACACTTCTACCTGCCACATCACGGGGTTCTCAAGCCTGACAGTACAACAACCAAGCTGCGGGTCGTATTTAATGGCTCCAGCGCATCCACATCGGGCTACTCTGTCAACGACCTCATGTATACGGGAGCGAAATTGCATCTGAACATCTCAGATGTTCTCCTATGGATACGAAGACATCGTCACATTTTCGCTACGGACATCACCAAGATGTACAGGCAGATCAAAATTCACAAGGATGACTGGGAGTTACAACGGATACTCTGGATGGACGATCAACTCAATGAAGTGCCATATCATCTGACAACCGTCACCTACGGGACAAAGGCCGCGCCGTTCTTGGCCGTCAGGACGCTGTTACAACTAGCAGAGGACGAAGGACATAAATATCCACTGGCTGTGCCATCCATCACTCATGGCAAGTATGTCGATGACATATTTGGTGGTGCAGATACGATTCAACAATTGCAGGAGGTCGCACATCAACTAAAGGGCCTCTGCATGGCGGGCGGCTTCCCACTAGCAAAATGGCATGCTACTCATCTCGATATACTCAAGACTGTTACCGACAGCGAAGACCAAGGCTTACCAATCACATGCGACGATTGCGCAACCAAGATACTCGGACTTAAATGGCTCCCTCAAGAAGACACCTTTGCATTCTCAACGCGAAGCTCACGCAAAGAAGGCAGGCTCACAAAACGCCTCGTATTATCTGAAGTGGCTCAGATATTCGATCCACTTGGCTTTGCATCACCCGTCGTGATCAAGGCCAAAATTCTCTTGCAGGAGCTGTGGCTGCACAAGCTCCAATGGGATGATCCACTGCCATCCCAGCTCTCAACCCGGTGGCTCTCCATCAGAGAAGAACTCACAAGTCTGGCCAGACTCTCAATACCTCGGTGGCTCAATACATGGAGCGACTCGCAAGTGGAACTTCATGGATTCTCTGATGCTTCTCAATTGGCAATGGCTGCAGTCATATACATATCCGTTCACGACTCAAACGGCGCCACGTTTTCACTTGTGTGCTCCAAGACTAAGGTAGCACCTCTCAAGCGGCTCTCAATCCCGCGACTGGAACTCACGGCTGCTTTACTGCTCTCTCGACTCATGCAATACGTCAAAGCCACTTTGAACATGGACGTTACGGCAACGCATATGTGGACGGACTCTTTCGTAACACTTTCGGGGATCAGATCTCATGCATCACGCTGAAAGGATTTTGTCAGGAACAGGGTGGCTCAAATTCAAGAGCTCACTCCAGCTGCTCACTGGAGATACATGCCTGGAACTTCCAACCCGGCTGATTGCGCATCACGAGGCCTCACGACCACTCAACTTCAAAACCACGCACTTTGGTGGACGGGACCACCATGGATACTCAATTCAGACTCATGGCCGTCGCAACCAGCACTCTCTGACGAGATGAGTGCTACAGAAGCTCGCCCAGGCGTTTCGCTACTGACGGTTACGCCAAGGACTGAATATCAATGGGACCTCATCTACAGGTACTCAAACCTCACTAAACTATTGAAGATTACAGCTCTCTGTTTCAGATTCGTCTCACGGTTGAAGAAAGTCCACGACTCATTGTGTTTGAGATTCCTCCAGTTATCTCAATTGTACTGCCCTCGCCATCTCACGGTTATTCGCGAGGCCCAATGGTACCGCGCGCGCGACCGCGCGACCGGGTAACGAGCACGTGTCGGGCCCGTGAACATGGCTCGAGGGCTTGCGCGCAAGCTCAGAGAGTTCAGTCGTCGTGAGAAAGTCGTCGTTGTAAGCGGTGGAAAAGTTCGCATCGGCTGACTGAATTATCGTGCTCGCTCTCAAGTGCTATCTCAGTGCCATCTCACATTGACAATTAGTGCTCACCCGGGAAAGACTCATTAGTTAAGTGCTCAAATCGAGTGCATCGGTGTTCTGCGCAAAGGCCTCTCATTCTGTACGTGCACGCTCGCTTGTAGCCGGCCACCGGCTCAACGGGCGGCACATCCCCGACGGTCTTGTGCGAACAAGAGAGCTCGAAGGACTCGCTCACCTCAATCATACGCCTCGGTAAATCTCAACTGTACATAGTGTAAATACAATTAAACGTTCAACTCATTTTAAAGAAACTGAATCGTAGTCATTCTCGCCACGTTGCACGTCCTTTCTCACCCCCCGATCCACTCGCAGCGCTCACGGAGATTTCGCGATCTTTCGATCTCATGACGAGATTCGAAAGGGAGGAAATTTCCCAAACACATTGCCTGTCAGACACATCTCTCCAGAGACCTTGGAGAAAGCGAGGCTCTTCTGGATTCAGGCCACTCAAGCAACGTACTTCTCGCACGAGCTCAAGGCATTACAGGCAGACTCCCCGTTGGCAAAGGCACACGCATTCAACAGATTGACTGCGTACATCGACGCTCAAGGAGTTATTCGCGTCGGCGGACGACTCGCTCACGCAGCTCTCGCATTCGATGCGACACATCCTGTAATCTTGCCTCGTCACTCTCAGCTGTCGTCACTTATCATCGCTCACGCTCATCAACGGACGCTACATGGAGGCACGCAGCTTACGCTGTCGCACATCCGACAACAATACTGGATTCTAGGCGGGAAGGCCCCTGTCAAGTCCCACATTCTGCGGTGTGTCACGTGTGCTCGGCAGAGGGGGATCCGTGCTCATCAATTGATGGGCCAACTACCTCTCTCTCGGGTTACGCAGGCACGACCGTTCACTCACACAGGTGTGGACTACGCGGGGCTGCTCACCGTCAAAACGTGGAAAGGAAGAGGTGCCAAAACAACTAAAGGCTGGATTTGCGTTTTTGTCTGCTTCTCAACCTCAGCAGTACACCTCGAGGCGGTCAGTGACTACTCTACGGAGGGATTCATTGCCGCCTATCGACGCTTCTCATCCAGACGCGGCATTGCTCACACCTTACACTCCGACTGCGGCACCAATTTCATCGGCGCGGATGCGGCTCTCAAAAGGCTGTTTATCCAGAGCACTCAAGAACATCAGCGAGTTTCTCACCTGCTCTCGCAAGACAACACCCGATGGGAATTTAATCCCTCAGCGACACCTCACATGGGAGGAAAATGGGAGGCCGTCGTAAAATCTATCAAGTACCACCTACGGCGGACCATTGGAGAAAGCGTGCTCACCTTTGAGGAGCTCACCACATTGCTCACTCAAATTGAGGCAATCCTCAACTCGCGCCCTCTCGAACCATTGAGTGACGACGCGGACGACATCGCAGCACTCACGCCAGGTCACTTCCTCGTAGGAAGTCCGCTCACCGCCATACCAGAGCTCTCACTCACCGACCTGGCAATCGCAAGACTCTCTCGATGGCAGCTCATCCAGCAGAAGGCACAACACACTGGGCAGCGCATTACCTACAACGACAACAAGCCATCTCAAAGTGGCACCACAGGAACAACGAAATCAAGGTCGGGTCATTGGTGCTCATCACCGACGAGCGGCTACCGCCATGCAAGTGGCCGTTAGCCCGGATCACGGCTCTACACCCTGGGGAGGATGGTCTCGTGCGGGTGGTGACTCTGAAGACGGCCACTACCACTCTCATCCGACCAGTGGTCAAGCTCGCCGTCCTGCCAATCTCATCATAACATCAGGGATCATCAACTACGTTGCTGATGGCGGGCGGAATGTTCGAGATTCATTTCTGAATCTCGGTCAGTTCGTTACCGGCGTGATGGCAGCATCAGCCGGGTCAGATCGTGCAGCGCCGCAGGAGCGCTGCGCGCGCATGCCCGATCGCGACGCGAGGGGACCGCGCTTCGTCACGTCCGTTACCGGCCCTTTTGGCTGATGGCTACGGTACCTAGTACACGCGTCGTGAAGTGCAGAAGATCTTTCTAGTGCTCTGGTGGACTTTCTCATCCGAGAACTGACTCAGTGTGAACATTCAGTGAACGCTTTGCAGTGCGACACATTCAGGACATTCGATACAGCATCACCGGCAGCTCAAGCTCACCACGCATCGCACGCCGGCGTAGCGTGGACACGGCTCACGGGCATCCGCATTCACGAGGCCGGCTCTAGATAAATACTATCGACCTGTGCAAGTGATTAAGAGACTTTTCATCCACCGTTATCTCATAGACTACCGAACTGTAAGCTTCTATACTTATTAAACTGACACGGTATTTTACTCAAACGGCCTGAGTTACAATCACGTGAGATTCCACCTTCTAAAGCGTGCATCCGCTCCCGAGCCTCTCACCGCAAAGTCCTCTCAGCGCTGCTTCCATCCGCAGAGGTCCAGCGAGCTCTTCCAAAGGAGAATCGCTAACACATTGTAATCTACTTTTATTAGTTGTGTGGGATTATTAGTCCACAAAGTCCTGTCTCCCACAACTCACAACTCACGGATAAGATTACAAAGAAAGCTTTATTCTGAGTCTATTACAAATATGTGTTTCAGTTATTCCCGATACGCGCAACGACTCGCAACGATATTCGCACTTTTAATACTCGCAGTGATACTCGCGGTGATGCTCGCGATTCGTTATAGCTCTCAACTCTCCGAAGGTTCTCGCAAGACTCTGTCAGAGTCATGCCCTCGTCCTAGCTCAACGTACAGATACAAATGCTTTATTTGTTTCCGTCGTCCGCAACGGTCGCGCTCGACCGCCGAATCAACTCGCGTCGCTGCTTGCCCGTGCGGCGGGCGTTTAGACAATTTTGAGGAACATCGAATATCCTACACTCGGCCATTCTGCACGGATGTTCGACCTCGAATATCACTCCTTGTCGCTATCTAACTCATCGCTTGATAATTCGGGTAACCATGGCTTCATGTGATCAGAAGAAGTTGAAGTCATGTACGGGCCTTCGCAGGTGCCCTCTCGCTGCATATTATACCTATTATTACGCAAAACTCGGGTCACTCTATAAGGGCCAAGAAACTTTGACGCTAGCTTCAAGCCCGGTTTCTGCTGGGTTCGCTTAATTGCAACCAAATCACCTTCTCCATAGTTTACAGCCGCGATTCTCTTTCTATTATACGTTCGACGATTCTCACGTTGCACTTTTAATATATTCTCTACCGCGCGTTCTCTTATTTCATCGCGTTCCCTCTGGTGCATCTCTACCCACTCGCTTTCAATTAATCTACGTATCTCGGGGTCATCTCGCAATCGTACTTTAGTACCAAATAATAAGCGAAAAGGATCGGTACCTATACTTCGGTGTACTATAGTGTTCATGTACTGTTGCGCACGCTCTAAATATTTATGCCATTCATCGCACTTTGGATCCGACAATTTTGTTAACAACGGAATTAACGTACGGTTCACACGCTCGACTTGGCCATTAGCCCTTGGTACTCCGGTAGTAATTAGAATGTGCTCGATACCTTCATTCACGCAGTACTCAGAAAATTCATTAGAGGTGAAGGCAGTACCTCTGTCAGAAATTATCCTATGCGGATTCCCGAAAACAAACGCTTGCTTACGCAATTTTTCCAAGACTTCGCTCGCACTTGTGGTCTTGGTCGCATATAACCACACAAACTTGGAAAATGCATCTATTACAACAAAGATATGCTTATAGCTTTTTTTCGTAGAAGGGAGTGGACCCAAATGGGCAATATGATATGTATCGAGGGGAACTTCTCCCTTTGGAATCGAGTTTAAGAAGCCCTCCTGTTTACCACGCTTTCTCTCAGCTAAAATGCACGCAACGCAGTTTCGTATTATCTTTTCGATCTTCGCTCCGACATTCGGTATCCAATAATCGCTACGCAGAATCGCTTCAGTCTTTGCCACTGAAAAATGGCCCCTCTCGTGCGCTTGCCTAATAATCTGTGATTGCATACTCTTTGGTACAACTAATAATAATTCGCCTTTATCCTCTCGGAAAAGTAAACCGCCTTTCACTACGTAATCGCTTGCTTTATTCGACTCTACTAAATCGAGGATTTTCTTAATATCGCTATCTTCCGCTTGCGCTTTCTTTAACCGTGAAGTCAAACCGCTTCTCTTTTTTTCGACAAAATTGCACTCCGGTAATGGGTGACGACTCAACGCGTCTACATGCTTCATATTCTTGCCAGGGCGATGCTCAACTTTATATTGAAACTCCTCAAGTAATAGTGCCCATCTCGCGACCCTCACGCATAGATCTCTTTTATTCATTGTTGCTACGAAAGATCGACAATCAGTTACGATAGTAAATGGAATTCCCAACAAATAAATCCTAAATTTCCTAAGTGCTCTCACTATTGCTAACACTTCTAGCTCATAACTCGCGTACTTCTGTTCCGCTAATGTCGTTTTATGACTACTATAATAAACGGGATGCCACTCATTATCAATTTTACCTCTTTGCAGCAGTATTGCACCGAATCCATACATCGATGCATCCGTATGAAGTTCTGTTTCGGCGTCAATCTCGTAAAGCTTTAATATGGGTTTGGTACAAAGAATCTCTTTTAATCGCAGAAACGCATGTCTTTCTTTTTCGCCAAATTCAAACTTAACATTCGCCTTCAAAAGATCACTCAACGGTCGCGCGACGCTCGAATATTGCGGTATAAACTTTCTAAAATATCCGCTAAGTCCTAAAAAACTTTGTACTCGCTTCACACTCGTAAGTTTAGGAAATTTCCTAACCGCCTCGATTTTGCGCTCGGAAGGGGATACATATCCGTTCTCCACGTTATGTCCAAGGAACTCGACACGCTCTTTCAGAAAGCTACACTTTGACCAATTAATCATCAGACCAGCCTCACTCGCAACTCGCAAGACACTCTCTAAATTTCGTATTCCGGTCTCATAATCAATTGATGGGACAATCAAATCATCCAAGTAAGTCAATACAGTCTTAGCTCGAATCAAATCCGCAAATACAATGTTAATAAATCTCTGAAAGATGGCCGGAGAATTGCACAAACCAAACGGAACACGCAGAAGTTCGTAATGTCCATCTGGCACAATAAAAGCTGTATACTTAGTACTTTGCTCACTGACCTTAACATGGAAGAAGCCATTCTTCAAATCAAGAGTACTGTAAAGCTTTGCCCCTTGTAATGAATCTAGCTGATCCTCTATTAATGGTAACGGGTATCTATCTCTTATTATTTTTTTATTTAATTGCCGATAGTCGACACACAATCTCGCGGAACCGTCTTTTTTCTTAGCTAGTACAACTGGGCTCGCATAATCTGACAAAGAAGGACGTACCACACCATCACGCATCCACTCGTCTATCTGTGCATTCACCAGTCCTCTCTCCGATACCGACAATCGTCTTGCCCGCTGATAAACGGGTTCGTCATCTGTCAAAGTTATTGACATCTTAAAATCTATTTCTCGCGTTTTAATCGGTTTGTAACTTCGTACAAGCCTCTTAATCTCATCTCTGTGTTTCGGCTCTGGCACATGAGATACGTCGATTTCGCGTTCGTTAATCACGTCAATCTGTAAAATTTCTGGTAAGTTATCGTTCGCGCGCTCCTGCTCTAACAACGGGCTAATTTCAATTTTTCCCGCTTTTATCTTTAGCTCGACTAAATTCAAGAAATCAGTACCAATAAGTAAATCATGACTCATAAATGTATCCGGAACAATACGCACAAGAATGGAATAGACATGACTATCTATCGTTAACTCCGTATTAAACTCGCCTAACGTTGAATTATTGTTCGTACCCACGCCACGGAATCGAAGTTCTCTCAACTCTAATCGCGGACAACCCAATCGGACATACGCACTAGCTCGCATCAGACTAATGTCACTTCCTGTGTCTATAAGAGCAATTATTTCACGATCGCCTATACTAACGCTTCGTACATACTTATCGCATTTCTTACTTGCAGTAGCATCAACGCTTCTCACCGCACTCTGCTTTTTCGCACATTTCGCGGCAATATGTCCGCGCTCACCACATTGAAAACACTTTGGACCTTCTGTTTTCGTGGGACAATCTGCAGCCGTGTGATCTCGCAGACCGCAGTTGTAGCAACGCCTCTCAGACTCGACACTCGCCGCTTCCTTCCTTTCACCCTTAGCCTTCTCACTGGTTCGTCGTCGCTGGTCTCCGCCGTTCCGCCGCCGCTGCTCTGCATTCCCGATGTTGTTACTCGAGACTTTGTCCTTCAACGTCACCTTCTCGAAGGCCTTCCGCAACGATGCCATCGTCGTGATCTGTCCAATACGCGCTTGATCTCGTAGGCTCGAAACTGGTATGCCATCAATGACGTACTCGACTACCTCGTCCTCAGGAATAGGTATGCGGTTAGCCAAAATGATCTTCTCGTGAGCGTATTGGTGGAAGGTTTCGTTTGGCTTCCACACGCGCTCCTCAAACTGTTTGCGCAACTTCATCCTACTTGGGCGATGATCGTACATTTCACGCAACTCACCAAGCAAATCGTCAACGGGTAATTCGATGTGCTCTGCTTTTGATTGCAGCCACTCAGAGGCCCTACCCTTTAGACGCATGCCGATCAGAATCTTAACGTGATCATCTGGCAGACGATA